AGTGCAGCGACACAGTTTTTATTTGCGAAGATCCAGCACGCTCTTCAAGATCACCGATGAGGAAAGGGCTGAGCGCTCGGCATGCTTCGTGCGATTCATCGATGATAAACCGCTCTCTAGTTACGAGGCCAGAGACGTCATTGCACTGGATGAAACTGCCGTGTATTTTGGGGTTCCACAACAGTCAAGAGTCAATCTAATCAGGTTCAACAACGTTACAATGAGGTGCACAGGATATGAGAGCGCCCGAGTGACCGTGATCCTCGCGATTCGAGGCGATTGAACACGCTGCGAAGCAGCCATCATACGTATAGGGAAAACAAGAGGCGGAATCACTCAGCAGCACGCTGTCGTCGTTTGTGAAACCGAAAGAGCCTGGGCCACCCAAGATGTTGTGCGAAAATACATCGAATATCTCACTCCCCTGATAACAAGAGCTCAACGGCGAAGTTTGCTCGTCTTCAATCGCCATCTTATTCCCGAATATTCGCGGAACAAAAAATCGGCCTCTGTCGACTCAAAAATGACTCATCCTCTTCGAATTATTTTTGTGCGACAACGAGGAGAGATGGAGACCTTGGTTTGTTTGAAAGCTGAGGAAAAATGCTGAAAACTAGTCATGCGTTCGAATGCCGAACACTCTTTACTAGAATTGAACTATTTTTCCCCTTCTTGAGCTAACTTTCGGACATTCCCAACTATTGTTCCAGACTGGGTCTCCCGAGATTTTAGTGAGCTTAGGAAGTTTTTTCTGTGAAGCATGTCGAAGGCGCTTGTACCCCGACTCAAGTTAGGGTGCAGGCATTCGTGAAACGAAGACTCTTCATCCCTAACGACAACCGATGCCGGAGCATCTCATTCGGTATAGACTTTTCGAAGACGATCTGATGCAGTTGCGGGTGTGCGCGAACACTTCTCTCCTCGAAACGAAAGAGCTCAAACAATACATGGCGATGCTGACGACCGACACGAGCGCATCACTGAGGGACCAGCTTGGTAACTCTACTTTGACGGGAGAACAAATGGTGTCCTCCACAAGCCTGACGTATGCCCAATCGACGGAACTGGCATCTACTCCGAAATCTAAACCATTCACGATTTGTTCGACTACCGGGTACATCGTAGACATGTTGATGCCGTCCGTGGCGGTCTTAAATGGCGCCGCAACCATGGGGGCTCTTGAAGGTAGTCTCGGGCGCTTCTCTCCGCTACGTCGGTTTTATTCTTATGGGGAACCGCGGAAATCAACTCGGGACTTTGAACTCACCGCTTGCGACGCCGTCTTTGGCTCGCCGCAGTGGCCTCATAAACAACAACATGGCTTCCTTGCGCGCGGGGTGGTCGATTTTCCACACATGTTAGTGCTTGTGCTGTTCACCGGCCGAAAATTCGTGCGAGGAAAACGGACCTGCTTGTGATACCCTACGGGAATCTCATGGAGATCTTCCTCTCAAATCAACTTGATCTGAACCTCATCATGGAAGCTATCCAGACTCGATACCACATTTTTCCGAGGCGATCCGAGCAATGGTCACCGAGATATCGCGGTTTATTGGGGGGGGGGGGAACCCCAAATTTTTTTCGAATGGGCCGTCAAAAAAAAGTGGCAGTCCACCTCAAGAATATCGACATTCTTGGGGTGGACATCACGACAATACGCGAGACATTGACGTGAAAATTGCTGATGAAGTAGACAACAGTCTACAGAGTCACGCCGACGCGGATGACCTCGAACCGGAACAAACTGATGAAGTTCCCGGAAGCAACTATCAGGGAAAAGACTTCATCCCTTTGTACGAAGACTGCGGCATCGGTGGGGACTTTTGAAAGTACTAGTCTATTTCCAAAGTTCTCGCCTACATCGACGATCACCCCACTCACACAATAGCGACTATCGCGACAAGTTTCGGAACGAGAGACATAGGAAGTTCGATCCAAGTTTCGCCATATGCCAAGAAGAGTTTCGACTCCGCTCGGGCTGATTTGTTAGCTGTCCACTATGACGACCTAAGGAAATGGGCCCTGCTGAAGGCGAGTGGTCTCGAAATGACGAAATTTTTAGCTTCACCTCGATGGATACAGCACTTCGAGAGGTGCCATCGCTTTTCACCGAGGAAAATCAACAAATTCACGACCAACAAAGGACTACACTGACACGGTTCGCGGTTTCTACGATCCGCCGGAAATATTCAACATAGATCACTCAGGGTTTGATTTCATACATGGTGTACTCAAATCGAACTCTGTCTCATACCGGCGAGAAGGAAACTCTAGTCGCCGTTCAGACCATCAATACATTGACTCACAGCTACAGCCAATTTCGGATGTGGACGGTGATCTGCTTAGTCGGCTCTTCGCGAATTCGCAAAAGCCGAGTGGCTTATTCGTTCCGATCGTCACAGCAGAAGTGACAAAGTACGAATGTTCGTTTGTGACTTGCACCAAGTTCGGGAAGTTGAACAAGGGACTGATGGAGATCTGGTGTCACGAAAATTGTGGAGGAAGTCCTGGATCGTACACAAAAGGATCGTAGTGATCGACGGATAGATGACACCTCCAACGGGGAAGAGGAACAGAAAGTTCGGGATCGATCGAAGCGACAGTCTTCTCGACGTGTGGTGTTCTGATTGTGAGAGACGGTCGACGATGAACGGGTGTGCAGACTGCTTAGATAATCGCCACGAGACGGGGTCGGAGGAATGCTTGGCAAGACGGATGACCTGTGTGTGAGTGACTGCACAACTCTAAGTGAGAGTGAGGTTAGCGACTGGAACCGGTAGGACATTAACTATTCGGTTGCGGTGGAGGAAAAAAGGTGAAAGCAACCGATCAAGGAATGAACTTGTGTCGCTCGCTAAGCCTGACATCAGTGCCAAGAGTGGGAGAATAAGCCCAAAGAATAGCATCTTCATCATCAGACACCAACATACCAAACAAAGGTAACACGGTGCCCAAAATGACAATCGGGTGCGAAACATGTGAAGAGGCATGGATCGTTAAAGCCCGACTCGGACCAAATAGGTGCTGCCTGGCTGGGGCCATGAGGCAGCAAGTCGTGACTCTTCAGGCGGAGAATAATCGTCTGAAAGAGGAGAACGCTAGACTGAAAATGGCAGAGCTGCACCTCCTGCGACCTGAAGAAACGAACGACGGGATAAACGCAGAGGACCAACTTTCTGGATCAGAAGGGGAAGGCCTTGAAACCGAACTTCGCGTGCGCGAAGACGAACAGCTGACGCTGTCAGAGGACCGCGGAAACAATGGGAGCGGGACCGAGAGAGCATAAGATCGCCCCCCATCATTCTCATGGGAGAGCGAACGCTGGGCATACTAAAAGATGCCAGGGTCGAAGATAACAGATAACCCGTTCAACAGGATGGGAGGGGCCCGCCACACGGTATGGAGGGACTACCGATCGAAGAGCACAAACTATATGCGCGCGGAGATAAAGTCCATCGTGGACCGGTATAAAAAAAACCGAGTTCCACGTCACGACATCGAGACCGCTAAGAATCAACCGAACGTACTGGCGGCGAATAAAGACGCTGACCTGGGTCACAAACACCCAGTATCCAAGCTGCGAGATTACACCCAACGTACAGTTATTGGTAAGTGCGTAAGCGACCGAAGCCTTGCTGTGGGGTCTAAGTTATGTTTTTAGTTCCCCCGGACTTCCTGACGTCCACAAATCTTGCACCTGGCCCGATTATTCATCCTCGAATTCGAGGAATGCCTTCAAATCTCTTGTTTCCATTCCAATACACCAAATATCAAGGTAATCATGGGCCAATATGGCTTGAATCGATTCTATTCGCCTCTGTTGCTGGCTGGATTGTTCGATAGGCTCAGCCTGAATGTTGAAGATTATAATGTCACTCGAACAGAGCAATAGGTGCTTGCCTCATTTGCGCGGCGTCGCTTAAAGAAATGAATGATTTGATGAAGATTCGCACAAGACCGATCGTTGCTGAGGTGCTGCAGTACGGAATATCGCCATTCCACGCAAGAATCAATACCATGGAATGCTTGATCAAAATCCTGAATAGCCTTGAGATACGGAAATGGCGCTGCGAAGGGAACGATAAAGAAAAAAAGAGAGGATTGCTTGCGAGAAATGCAGGATGAGGAGAACTCGGCCTATGCATTTTCTTGTTCGACCGCGCGGAGGCACCAGTAACGATGCAAACACGGCACGGAAATTCTCCCGAAGTCATGCCACGACTGCCAGAATTAGCCGTTTAGACCCGGAGCTGGTTTTCAGGCCTCGCGTCATTCTGGAAGCCATCAATTCTCGCCGCCAATTGAAGAGTGCGGCGTTCCGCGACTACTGCTCGATGACGGCGGATCTTCGTGTCGCGCGCTACCCTTTGTATTATATGCCTATATACACAGTGCACAAGATACTCATTCACGGCGCGGATATCGTAGAAAGGTGTCCGCAACCCGTGGGGAGTCTCAGCGAAGAGGCTCAAGAGGCATCAAACAAGCTCTTCAAGAAGTTTCGGGAAGCGAACTCCTTTGAGGCCAATCGTGAGACCGTGGGAGTGACGTGATGCATAGGCTGTTGGCTTATTCGGACCCTCCCGTTAACAAGTATCGAGGGGACACCCCCATGGAGGAACTTGACACGATTCCTGAAGTCGAAATGTTGTTAATTGCCGGATAGTGTTCATCGGCGGTGTATCTGAGCCACCCTTAGTTGCTTGTATGGCTGTCGCCGCCGCGGCGACCCCAAGACGGCGGTCGCTTCCGCACTTAACCCTTCAGCGGAAAGTATCGGAAAAATGGCGTATCTCAGCGAGAAATGAATGAAGACGGTATTTCTTCGACCTGCATGATTGTTCTATCACCTGCATGACTCACTTCGGTGAATTTCACACCGGATAGAACTTCGGTGAGGGCAAAATGAAGCATTTTTCGGGGACTAATCGTCGCTTTTGTGAATGGGACCATAGTTCCCTTACGAGCGGTCCTAGAGAAAACTTCCAATAGGCGAAAAGATGCGGGACTTAAAGAGCTTTCCAACGACGTCATCGATCCAAAAGCAGTTCAACCGTTTAGCTGCAATCGACGATTTAGGGGGGGAAAAAATACATTTTCGGGGTGAAGCAGTCGGCGATCGAAGTTTGCTATGTGCTCAAAAAATGCCTTCGTTTCGCCAATTCATTGTCGATATGTACGTGAAAATCGGGAGCGTACGACTGCTCTATATCCGCTCAAGTCAAACGAAACTGCGTTCGGAAGAATACATCCGTCTACGCGATGCGGTGAACACTGATGCCAACGTTGATGCTAACAGTCTTGGAGAGCAGGTGATTTTACCATCCACGTGCATAGGGAGCCCGCGTCATATGCATGAATACGCCATGGATGCTATGACATATGTTCGCGCATATGGTCGCCCCGAATCATTCATCACATTCACGTGCAATCCTGCCTGGGATGAAATTCAAGAGCTCTTGCTACGAGGTCAAGCGTCATCCGATCGGCACGACATCATTGCTCGCGTCTTCAGACAGAAATTACGATCAATGATGAACTTCATCAACAAAGATCAAGTTTTTGGAGAAACACGGTGCTGGATGTACTCCATCGAATGGCAGAAGAGAGGACTCCTCCCGGCACATATCCTGATCTGGTTGGTGAACAAAATCACACCAGACAAAATCGACGATATCATCTCAGCCGAAATCCCAGACATTGACATCGATCCTGGATTATTCGAGGTCGACACACAAAATATGGTCCACGGACCTTGCGGACACTTTAATCCACGATGTGTTTGTATGAAAGACAAGGAGAACTCCAAAAAGTACCCGGAACGTCTGATTCCGGAAACAATCACAGGCAACGATGGTTACCCCCAATATCGACGTAAGTCCCTTGGAGACGGCGGCAAGATGTTCCGTCGCACGCGCGGTGATCGAGTCATCGATAATAGCTGGATTGTGCCGTATTCATCATTGCTCTCAAAACCCTTCAAAGCGCAAATCGACGTCGAGTACTGCAATTCCGTCAAGTCCATCAAGTATATTTGCAAGTACGTGAATAAGGGAAGCGATATGGCAGTTATCGAGGTGAGGAATTTTCCAGAACCAGTCGATGAAGTGGAACGATATCGCTCTGGACGCTACATCAACAGTAATGAAGCGATTCGGCGGATTCTGTCATTCCCCATCCATGAACGTGAACCTGCAGTTGTGCATTTGGCGGTGCACCTCGAGAACGGTCAGCGTGTATACTTCACGGCGAGCAACGTACAAGCGAGAGCGGCTGCTCCACCGGCCTCAACATTGACTGCATTCTTCGATTTATGCAGAAATTCGAATGATGACTTCCCGAAGACTCTCCTTTACTCCGAAGTTCCGAAATACTGCACGTGGCGAGCAAAAAATTCAAGGCTCGCGAAAGAGGGACACCTGTGAACATCGAAGGACATGGAACGAGAATTTCCTCCAATGCTCTGGGTCGGTTGTATACCGTCCATCCCAACAATCGAGAGTGCTTCTATCTAAGGCTGCTCTTAGTCAACGTACGTGGACCGACATCCTTCGGGCACCTCAGGACTGTCGATGGCGAAGTTTGGGCAACTTACAGATTAGCCTGCCAGAAGTTACATCATTTTGAAGACGACGCTCATTGGGATACTACATTGTCTGACGCGTCGCATACGACCAGGTCAAATTCGGACGCTCGTCGCCATCATATTGACGACTCGCTTCCCCTCCGATCCCAAGGGTCTTTGGGAAAAACACAAGGATTCTATGGCCGATGATATCCTGAACCGTGGTCGCCGTTTGCGCCACGACCCTGAGCTAGCCTTCGTTCCTGAGATCTACAACGAAGCATTGGTTTCGATTGAGTATCTTTGTGTGGCTATCGCCAACAAATCGTTGGTTCAGCTGGGTATGCATGCCCCGGATCGAAGCGCTCTGGATACTCAAGATCGCGATTTAGTTCGAGAAAGCGATTTTGATGTGGGAGCTCCGGCCGAATTTGTCGAAACCAATGTTCCACTTCTGCTGCCAGAACAACTGACCGCTTACGAAACTATCATGAGTGCGATCGCGAATCGTACCGGTGGTCTGTTTTTCCTCGACGCACCCGGCGGCACCGGCTAAGACTTTCCTGATATCTCTTGATTTTTGGCGACCATCCGTTCTCGGAAGCACATCGCATTGGCGATCGCATCTTCTAGAATAGCCGCCACACTTCTCGATGGTGGTCGAACGGCTCACTCCGCTCTGAAGCTGCCATTGAATGTGCAAACGATCGAGATGCCCACATGCAATCTTGCCAAAAATTCCGGTATGGGGACCGTTCTGAGAACGTGTCAAATCATAATTTGGGATGAATGCACAATGGCCCACAAGAAGTCCTTGGAAGCCCTCGATCGGATATTGCGAGATTTTAGAGACTGCCAGGTCCCTTTTGGAGGAGCGCTGATCATGTTGTCCGGTGACTTCCGACAGACCCTGCCCGTCATACCACGCGGGACACGCGCCGATGAAATCAATGCCTGCCTGAAGCAATCGACTCTCTGGCGACACGTTCAGAAATTGACGCTCACGACGAATATGAGGGTTCAGCTTCAGAACGACACGACCGCTGCACGCTTCGCGGCTCAATTGCTGGACATAGGCTCTGGGAGGATGCCCATCGACAGATCTTCACAAAGCATAACTTTGCCCTCGGATTTCTGCATGGTGTGCTCGACGGAAGAACGTTTGATCCAGAGCGTCTTCCCGGACATAAAACGGAATTTCAGAAACCGTCAGTTGCTGAGTAAGCGAGCGATCCTGGCCGCCAAGAACTGTGACGTGAACGCCAAGAATCTCAGCATTCAGAACGAAATACCCGGCGAAGCTGAGACGTACAAGTCCATCGATACGGTCATGGATCAAGATGAAGTTGTGAATTATCCAACAGAGTTTTTGAACTCACTGGATCTGCCAGGCATGCCTCCCCACGATTTGACCCTCAAGCTTGGTGTTCCGATCATCCTGCTACGAAATCTCCATCCACCACGCCTGTGCAACGGAACAAGACTCGCCGTCGAGAACTTGATGAGCAATGTGATTGAGGCAACGATTCTCAACGGGAAATTCGAGGGAGATGTTTTATTGCCAAGAATTCCCATGATCCCTACCGATATCCCCTTCGAATTCAAGCGTCTGCAGTTCCCAGTTCGTCCCGCTTTCGCCATGACGATACACAAAGCCCAGGGACAATCAATGCAGGTATGCGGTCTCGATCTCGAAAACCCGTGTTTCTCTCACGGCCAGCTGTATGTTGCGACGTCCAGAGTTGGGAAACCCGCTGATTTATTCGTGTATGCCGCCGACGGGAAAACAAAAAATATTGTCTACGAAGAAGCTCTTCAATAAAAATCGATAACCTCCTTGACAATCAAGAAATCACAGAGAATCATGGGAAAGCAGGGAAACGGGGAAGCGGGGAAACGGGACGCGCACCCAGAGCACGCGCGCCCAAAGCAAGGGCACCCGGAGCCAGCGCAGTCGGAGCCAGCGGATGTGTAGTGAGTCTAGCGCTAGTAATTATCTAAAATCCGCCCTTAAGCATTGACTCAATGGGAAAACGCTTGAAAAAGAAAGGGGCCAAGACGCCATCTTGGAATCTCTTTCTTCCTTTCCCGCCACATTGCCGAACAATTAGAGCCGAGTTTCACATATACGGAGTAGAGAAAATTCTCCCGAATTCAGTGTAAGTAAAAAGCATTTCGCGCATAGAAAAAAATCCCTACTTTTTCTCACAAAGTCATTTTGTAAGTTCAAAACATGAATTCGAGCATTATCGAGAAAACCATGAACACGCGAGAGTTCAACCTGTCGACGGAGATGGTGGAGACTCTGAGGAGGATGAGGTTCACCCCCGAGCTCCTCAACCTCGTCCAGGACGCGGTCATGATGCGGGCCTTGCGGGACATGGCCGGGACAGACCCCCACAAGTTCAGGGCCCAGTTCAACCGGGTCGCGGTCAACCTCACGCCCGCTGTCAAGGCTTCGGTGTACATGCTGGCCACGGCCTGCAGCAACAAGGACCGGCTGACCCGGAACTACGGCTCCCTGCCCGACAAGCTCCGGGACTTCCCGTGCGTCCAGGAGGCCTATAATTCTATCCAGTCGAAGATGGTCACCTGGGTGTCCCTGGAGGAGCCGGGTATCAACTTTGCGTTGATCCATTTTCCGAACACCCTCCCGGGGCTCTGCGCCTACTTCTGGAAGACCATGCAGGCCCAGGACCACTTCACGGTCAAGGAGCTGCTCAAGACCCAGTACGCCACCCAGCTGGCGCTGGACGAACTTGAGCAGTCGGAGAACCGGGAGGCCATGAAGGCCTTCTGGAATTCCACCGTGAGGTCGACGTCGAACAAGGCGAATGTCGCGGCGTTTCGGGCCTCGAGGGAGGCATTGGAAGGGTCCTCCGACCCCAAGATCTACGCGACCAAGGCCGCCGACAAGTATTATCTCGTCCGGGTGTGGGCCACCGGGGAGGTCACCGTGATGGTGCCCACCAACAACCTCTAGTACACCAGGGAGGAGCTCGACACCTGGGTGCTCGAGGGCAGCCCCGCAGCCGGGCCCGGCCCCTTCGAGAGGTACCAAGTGATCCAGCTCAAGGGCAAGGGGGTCAAGACCGCCCCCGCAGTGAAGGTCAAGCCCCCGAAGATGGAGGGCCTGAGCCAGGCCCAGATATTGGAGCAGCAGGAGCAGCTGGCTTCCCGCCAGGCGCAGCTCGAGAAGGAGGGCCCTGGAGGGGTCCAGCTCGAGCAGGTCTCGGGACACGACGACCTCCGACTGCACTCAGGACTCCGACACCTTCTGAACCCGGCTGTAGGCCAAGCCGACCCCGTGGATGTCCCTCAGCCTCAGAGTGCCCCTGCATGCCGAAGCCAGGCAGATAACAATGCTGCGGGTTTCCTGATGAGAGTGGTGAGGATCTAGACCAGCTCCTCGTCGAAGCAGGCAACAGCCTTGAAGAGGGAGAATGAAGGCAACCTGAAACACTAGGTGTGAGAGTCACTCTCCTTGTTTCATTTACAACTAGCGCGACCCGCGCGCTGTGCCGCGCCCCTGTTCACCACTTGATAAAAATTCACCAAGAAAGAACAATTTATAAGAACAGACTACATAAGTCGAAGAATCCCTCACAAATGACAACGATAAAAAAAAGCGACGGAACAGGGACCTAGTCTTCATATGACCTATTCTAAACGATTAAATACGTAGAGCTTTTTTACGTATGACTACAGCGCTCAAACGTTGTTTTACTTCTCTGACTGAGACGGTATATTTTAGGTATTCCGGTAACAATTTCGGGAGATTGGTTTCCACGAATAAGGCTAAATCCTGAGCATTGTAGTTCCTTTCGCGGTCAATATCAGGATCAGAAATTCTATTTCCTGATCTATCAGGTGCGAACAATCCGAGTTGATTCAATCGTCGGTTCATAATGGATAAGCAGGAATCTTCGATTAAAATCAAGGCCTCATTGAACATGTCCAATGAAAACGGAAGATTAGGATCATGGATTTCTCGCCGCCGATCTCTCAGTATATCTTCGGTCAAATGATTTTTATATTTCTCCCAGAGATCTCGGGGATTCGATGGAGAACAGGTTGTCAATATAATAGCAAACAACGTACGTATTTGTTGCGGGTATGCGGTGTCCGCGGCTTCAGCCAATGTCAAATCCCAATGAGAATCGTTCTCCAGAAGTTTCAACGCCAAGCAAGCTTCCCTGTGAGTCTCATAGATCACGCCATCCACCGTTCTCAGGTCTTTGAAAGATTTCGGTCCTCGAACGTTGACGAACAACAGGCGAAGAAAGAAACATTCTTGATTATTCGGATGTACAGTATAAAGACGACCTAAAGCATCGCATGAAAACAAATCCAAATACCCCTCGACCGGTTTACCCTGCTTACGTCGTTTGAAACTCTTCGTCACCGTATTCCATGTGTAGTATCTCGGGACTTCCAAATATAACAGAGAACTCGCGAATTCATCATTCGCACATAGCGCGAAGAAGGCAGTCAGGGTTGTTCGCGGCGGAGATAAAACTTTGGAATGAATGTTAGTTGCTGTGAAATACACGCGCTGTCCATTCTCCAGATGCACTGCCAAATGAACCACGGTTGGATATCTCTCATGAATGGGAAAAGAAAAGATGCGCCATATGGCTTCATTGCTGCTTATGTATCGTCCAATTTGGTATTGTTTGATCTCGTCAATCGGAGCTGAAGGATCTTCCATACCAAAAGCTGCCATATCGCTTCCTTTGTTGATATACTTGCAAATATATTTTATCGATTTCACGGAGTTGCAATATTCGACATTGATATGAGCTTTGAATATTTTTGAGAGTATAGGGGAATACGGTACGATCCATCTGTTGTCGACTTCGATATCGCTGCTACGCACCTTCAATGTGAAAGTTTTCCCGCCGTCTTCCGCTGAGCGTCGACGATACAAGGGATAGCCATCATTTCCAGTCATAGTCTCTGCGAGTAGTTCCCTCGGATACCGTTTGGTGCAGAACCC